ACACCAGACCACTGTTGCGGTGTCCACAATGCATGCTCTCTACTCCAGGTTAATCGCAGGCGACAGTGAGTTGCGGTAAGTAAAACACATCTGACAGGCCTACGAGCATATAGACCAGTGTGCCCTAAGCGTCTGTACACGGTCTGCCTTGAAACTGTCGTACCGGTAGCTGAAGAGAGCTGACGAGACAGGTCTGATGCTGTGCTCCGTCTGTTTCTCTTGGCAGTAACTGCTAAATACCGGTCCTCATTCGGCGTTGTAACTCGGGGGCGACCTGTGCTGTAACATTTACTCACATTATCATCATCTTGGAATCGTTGCTAAAGCCTGGAGATGACACTCTGGGCGATTCCAAGTTCCTCGGATATTTCCAGCTGTGTACGTCCACATTCCAGTCGTCCGATAATTCTACCACGTAAAAAATCATCCAAATGCTTCCTTTGTGCCATAACTATGCGGTTATTGCACTGAAAGGCTTTTAAAGCGGTTGTGAAGAATTTTACTTCTTGGCCACCATTCCTTATATACCCCTCTCTTACGCTCTCCTCTTTGTGACGTACTATCCGCGCCATCTGGTGGTTTCCTGTAATTTGCATATTCTTCTTCAAGATATGTGTGATAATTCTACAGGTGAAATTTTTATTTTAGAGTTCAATTTCTGTGTGATTCTGAATTATCCTTAATTTATGGACATGAGTGAATTTTAAAATCAAAGTTAATTATTTCTCATAATTTCGACAGTTAATTTTTGAATAGATGGATGTACACATAATGTATTTTTTCAATACATTGGTTTTCCCTACGTTGGCCATCATAAAATAAATATATTTTGTAAAAGTTTAATAAATCTCATGGGCCGGAAAAATTTTCAAGGAGGATCGCAGGTCGGCCACCCCTGATCTAAAAGAAATTTAAAATTAAAACAAATTTTTTTCATCTAATTTTTGATTAATTGAATATTTTTATTTAATTTAGTTGGTAAAATAAAATATATGCTGAATAAATGTTTATTTAGTTTAAAAAAATCTGTTTTAAAGAAACAGAAATCGATTGGAAATAAAATATTGTAATATTTAAGAATTAAAGAACAAGAAAATATAATTGGGCATAAAATGCAATAAAGCAATACTCTTTTCATTCCCATATTAAAATAGTTGAAGATAAACATTAGGCAAAATAAAGCAGATAATTTAATTATTGATATTTTTTAACCATTCTTTTATAACATGTGGATTACATCCAATAAAACTAGAAACATTTACTGTAACTACCAAAAAATATAATAATAAAGAAAACTAGAAAATAAACTAAATCACATTGAAAAACTTTTTCTGAAAAGTTTTTTATTCCTTTTGTATTAATATTTGAACAAAAAAAATATGGGAAAAGTATCGGCTATTTTTGCGTTGTATAATATTTTTGCCAGAAAACAGCGTATAATATTCATGAAAACATGGCAATAATTTTATCGATATAAACATGTTTCATGAAAGTTAAATTTTAAATAGTAGTAATTCACAGTTATAAAATATTATTTGAAGGTAATATATAAAATTAAAAACATATAATTACTCATTGCTGCTTTACTTTAATTTCTACCTTTGGCAACATTAAAAACAAAATTTAATATAGTATGCTGCTTTACACTGAAGTGACAAAAGTCATGGGATAGCAATATGCAAATTTTCAGATGGCAGTAGCATCGCGTAGAACAGGTATAAATGCGCAGTGCTTTCGCAGAGCTTTCATTTCTGTTCAAGTTATTCATGTGAAAAGGTTTTGACGTGATGATGACCGCACGACGCGGAATGTTAGTTGGAGCTAGACGCATGGGTCATGCCATTTCGGAAATCGTTAGGGAATTCAACATTCCCAGATCCACTGTGTCAAGAGTGTGCCGAGAGTATGAAATTTCAGGCATAACATCCCACCATGGATAGCGCAGTGGTCGACCGCCTGCACTTAACGTCCGAGACCGGCGACGTCTGCAAAGAGTCGTAAATTCTAACAGGCAAGCAACACTGCGTCAAATAACCGCAGAAATCAATGTGGGACGTACAAGGGACTTGTCTGTTAGAACTGTGCGGGGAGAAATTTGGCTTTCCTGGGCTATTCCAGCAGAAGACCGACTCGAGTGCCTTTACTGACAGAACGACATCGCTTGCAGCGACTCTCGTGGGCACGTGAGCATATCGGTTGGTCCCTAGATGAATGGAAAACCATGGCCTGGTCCGATGAGTCACGATTTCAGTTGGTAAGAGCTGATGGTAGGGTTCGAGTGTGGCGCAGACCCCACGAAGCCATGGACCCAAACTGTCAGCAAGGCACTGTTCAAGCCGGTGGTGGCTCCGTAATGGTGTGGGCTGTTTTTTCATGGCATGGACTTGGTCCTCTGGTTCGACTGGACCGAACATTGACTGGAAATGCTTATGTTCAGCTACTTGGAGATCACTTGCAGCCATTCATGGACTTCATGTACCCAAACAACGATGGGATTTTTATGGATGACAATGCGCCATGTCACCGGGCCACAACTGTTCGCGATTGGTTTGAAGAACATTCTGGACAATTCCAACGAATGATCTGGCCACCTAGATCGCCCGACATGAATCCCATCGAGCATTTATGGGGCATCATCGAGAGGTGTGTTCGTGCCCAAAATCCTGCACCATCAACGCTTTGACAATTATGGACGTCTATCGAGACAGCATGGCTCAATATTCCTGCAGAAGACTTCCAACGACTTGTTGAGTCCATGCCACGTCGAGTTGCTGCAGTTCGCCGGGCGAAAGGAGGGCCGACACGATAATAAGAGGTATCCCATGACTTTTGTCACTTCAGTGTATGTTTTACAAGTATGTTGCTGTATGTTTTACAAGCATGTTGCTGTATGTTTTACAAGTATGTTGCTGTATGTTTTACAAGTATGTTGCTGTATGTTTTACAAGTATGTTGCTGTATGTTTTACAAATATATATATTTTAACAAGTATGTTACTGTATGTTTTACAAGTATGTTTCTTTATGTTTTACAAGTTTGTTGTATTTTAACAAGTATGTTACTGTATGTTTTACAAGTATGTTTCTTTATGTTTTACAAGTTTGTTGCATTTTAACAAGTATGTTGCTTTATGTTTTGCAAGTATGTATATTTTAACAATGTTGCTGTATGTTTTACAAATGTATATTTTAATAAGTATGTTGCTTTTTTTTTACAAGTATGTTGTATTTTAACAAGTATGTTGCTTTATGTTTTACAAATATGTTACTCTATGTTTCACAAGTATGTTTTATTTTAACAAGTATGTTGCTTTATGTTTTACAAATATGTTACTCTATGTTTCACAAGTATGTTTTATTTTAACAAGTATGTTGCTGTATGTTTTACAAGGTTGTATTTTAACAACTGTGTTGAGTCCAATTAGAAACATTCTCTGTAATTAGTTCATAGTAACTATGAACTAATTACAGTGAGTGTTATGAATACAGTGTTATAAGCAACTAATTAAGAAAAATTACTCAATGCCCATTTTTATCTCAAAACAATGCTCGAATTGAGTTATTGCTTATTCGAGGATTTATTGTAGTACAGTAAAGTAGAATAAATATTGCTTATTCTACGATCTATTGTAGCATAGTAATACATTATACTAATGTATATATTTGCAACATAATCGACGTTGTGTTATGTTTTGTGTGTATCATAAAGCATTTTTCATTAGTTTAACATTTAAAAATCTTTTCCATTTGACAAATAAAATGTTTAATATTCCTAAGAAAATGCTAAAATACCAGGGAAAGTTGACAAATGTGAAAATACATAATGCCCTTTTTTTTAAAGCAGTATTTTATTTCTGTAACGGGGTGTCGTGGATGCTGTTTTATGTTTTCCCTCGAAGAACTGAGCTGTGGTGATAAAATCCAATCCCGATAAGTGCTTGTATTCCCCGTCTCTGACAACAATGGAGTTCGAATAACGCTCTGATCCTTTTTCCCGCGAATATCTTTTTACACAATTCCTTTTGGGGACGAGTCAGCCATCCAGAGAAAAGGTCTGCCTCACATCAAAAGAGAAACAGCAAAATAGAACAGCGTTTCAAATGGGAACGTGCATAAAACAAGCACGATTGCTTTCTTCTGTTAGACTTTTAGACGCCAGTTTTTTTTTAAAGATGCATCGATTCAGATAATTTACGAAAATTTGTACAATTAATTGGTAAATCATTTGTAATTTAATAATTCACTTGTAATTTATATGTGACAAGTTAATGTAAGAAAGATCGATTGTATTGTTGTTTCTTATCCCACTTTGTAGATATCTAGGCCAAGCCCATGAACCTGTATGGACTCAAGGTTGAAGGAAAAGGGGGCAGCTTCTGTTGTGATGGAGGACCCGTAAATAGAAGTCTGACTTGGCTCCGTGACGCTCTACAGTCATATGAGACCGGGACTAACGGTTTAAAGTGGATTCCGAATCACTACAAACATCCATGGCACCGCCGGGACTCAAACACGAAACCTGTGGCACCGAAGGCCAGAGCGGTTGCGAGGTACCGGAGCGATGACAGCCGAGAGTCAGTGCTAGACACTCGGTCATTCAGGCCCAGAGATCGATTGTTGCTGGTGGAAATGAGTGATTTGAAAAAAAGAGTACACATGGTGGTGACTGTGACAGAATGGATCGGTTTGGCAATCAAATTATAATTTTCCCCCTTATTATTTTCCAATATGACTCATAAATGCTGATCAGTGAGTCTTGAAAGTAGTACTTGAGTCTAGTAGCTATAATGTTACAGATGTTTCCATATTTAATTGAGTGTAAGTGAATCTGCTACTGATTCGGAATGCACTTTAAACCGTAGGTCCCTGTCTATTACGACGATTACTACTACTACTACACTACACCACACCACAATGTAACTCGCGTTCGTAGCATATCTTCAAGTTACACATGCCCCCTGGATAATGCTAAATGAGTAAGAGCGGGTGCAGCCCTTGATTATGGCATAAAGATAACTATGGGTTCTGGTTAGATCAACGAAGTCAAGCATCATTGGGCGCGGTCAGTACTTGGGTGGGTGACCACCTGGGAACACCGCGTGCCGTTGGCAAATTTGGGACCTGAATGGCCGAGTGTCTAGCGCTCTGGCGCTCGGTGCCACAGGTTTCGGGTTCGAATCCCGGCGGTGCCATAGATGTTTGTTGTGGTTCGGAATCCACTTTAAGCCGTAGGTCCCGGTCTCCTATGACTGTAAGAGCGTCAGGGAGCAAAAGTCAGGCTTCTACCAACGGGTGCTCCATCACAACAGAAGCTGCTTCCTTCCCCTTCAATCCTGAGCACGTATGGGCTCGTGGGCTTGGCCAGCCAAGTGGGATAAGAAACAACAACAAACAGATAACTGTGTCTGTATTGCCAGCTGCATTAAAAAAAAATATTGTATTGAGTGATGTATATTCGTATCCGTTGCGCAACATTTGCAACAATGTTTTAATATTGTTTATTAATGTGCACGTGAGCACAGTTTCAGTGTTAGCCTTTTTAAGACACGAAAATTATTTCAGAAGAAACGGCACTTTTCGGGATTTATTAGATAAAGGAAAAAGAAACAAAGTACGATCTAGGGATTTAGCAAAAAAAAAAAAAAAAAATTCTTGAAACATTGCCATTGTCTCACGTCCGATGTCACTCCATCCTATTGAAGCCAGCAATCTCGTTTATTTCCATTTAACAGCGAAATGAACTGTTGGACGAGATGTGGATAAATTTCCTCTATTAGGCCTGTGTCAAAGACCCGATCAATCGATGGCGGGGAGCGGCGACACCGGACTGTTTCGAAATTCAGCACACACACGCGCGTCTTTGGAAAAGTGTTCGGCTGATACGATATTAAGTAATGAATTTTTGCATCCTACTGGTTTACAAGTAAAATAAAAAAATAATAATTTTTTAACTCAATTCCTTTTTTTTTCTCACTCTATTGCAGAAAGTCCTTTATAAATAATTTTCATTCATTTTTTTAAATTTATCTGGCGCCATCTATCGGCAGACGTATGCAACTTAAATCTAAAAAAAAAACTATAATTAATTAATTAAATTTAATGAGTGAATTAATATTTGAAAAAACTGTATTAACATCCAGTGCCATCCATTACAAGTTCAAAAAAAATGTATTTGAACTCGAGTGGATGAATAAAAAGTATTTTATGAACGATTGAAAATTTGAACAAGATATATATAGGATATAGAGTGTGAGCTAATAGAAGAAATTGAAGAATAACTCATTTTAAGACAGGCATATTGTTTGCATTGCGACATAAATGCACATTAATAAACAATGATTAAAGCAGTGAGGGAATCGGTACATCGGAGTTAAGAGTTTAAAAATCCGACTCTTCATAAAAATGTTTTTCTCAAAATTCTGAGAATTAATCTTAAAATTGAATGTTAGCGAGGTAATTGTGTATCCTCCAATAATACATCCTGCAGCAAAGCTAGTTATTGCTTTGATAGCAAACCAGGTAAGTGTTGAGAGACTTTTCTCAGCAGTTATGCTTGTAAAAAGATATATTGGATCAACAATAGAAGAAGATCTTATAAATGATATTCTATTGTTAAAAGAAAAATAATTTAATGTATGTAGGATTTGTTTGTATGCTAAGCACCAGATGGAAACACATCACGGACTATGTGCCTTTCACACCAACCTTTTGTCATGTAGTGGCAGTATCGGACCTTGAACTCTGGCCCTGGAAGAAGGGAAAAAAATCCGTAGTTGGGCGCGAGAGGAAAAAGCTAACTGACATGGGAGACGCTGCGTCAAGCAGCGGTAGAAAATGGTTGTGAATGTATCAATACTTTCTGTAAATATTGATGTAAATATATTCATTAAATATGTGTTGTTGAGAAAAAGCCAACGCTTCTTTATTTCGCTTTGAAATACACCCCTAGACACCCATTGTAAAAGTACAGCCACTGTTAGACTGCTAGAGAAGTCTTAACAAAACTGTAGGTTCGGCCGGGATGCATCAGTTGAAACCGGTGTAAATCTACATAAATTGGGGTTTCGGCTGGGATCCGTTTGTTGCAAGCGGCCTGAAGCCTACATGTATTACAAATGTCTTTGCGATTAAAAGGTACAATTATTTTGCTTGTCTTAAGCTATTCTAACAATGTTTTGGTGCTTGTTAATTTTGCATCGTTATTTGTAGAACACATATTTTTGTAAGCAAATTTAGAGCACGAGCATGTCTTTTCAGTCAATGTAAGTAATGCTACACCTTTAAAGTTACAAAAAAAACTTTCTTTTGTGCAGAAATTGTTTTTATATGAATTATATTTTAATATAGAGTTATAGATGAGTAATTTTTTATATATTCATCTAGACTATATAGTAGTCACTGAATTTATTTCACAAATTTTTCATCCTTTAGTGAAGATCGTAGTTCATAAAATTGCGATAAAGGAGTCGGGAATAAGAAATAAAAAGGTTTTTTGATCGTATCCACAATCCTGGTTTGGCAAAAATGTAAAGACATGTATAGTGGGCGGATAAAAGCATGGTGCTAACATGCAAGGAAGGTAAGAATAACAGAAAAGTGATAAAAGTAGGTTTGGTCAAAAGAGGCAATCATTTTAAGCAGCAGCAATAGCAAACCTTTTATCTGGCATGATTAAACTTTTAACAATAGGTGCTCGGAAGATAGATCAACAATAATAAAAGATTCACAGCGACGGTGCACAGCATTGGGGTGCATTCGCAAAAATTTCTAGACCACATGTACGTCATCTTACTTGGATTTCGTCCGTCAGTTCTATAACTTTACGCATGCAAATTTGGTTCCAGCACTATCTAGCCTTAGTTCATTTCAACAGAAATGTTAAAAATTACATCGACGCTACTTACGGCCCATATTAAATCGGACGGGATGGTCTTTTACCTTGGGCAACATTATCACTAGAACCAATATGCATGGATTTCTTCTTTTGGGTGCCCATTAAAAGCATGATTTGCTGAAGCCCCATTCAACTCCATGGATATCTAGTGGCAATAATGTCAGTTACTTCAGGAAATATCCCTGGCATTTTTTCTAAATGTACACCAATCCATATTCTGTTGCTAGAAATATTACATCACCATTGTGAGTCGCTCTTTCGAATACCTATTGTCTTTTTATTTTGATTTTGTATGTGTTTTTCATGTCTTCCTTATATGATAGTTTTCATATATACAGTCCCAACAAGGCCAGATGAACTCTGCACAGCCAGATTCGTTGTTTGGAATGTATAAAAACCGCCCAAAGAACTGTACCTCAACGACCCATAGTTTTCGAGAAAGATGCGAGAGAAAAAGTAGGACGTATTATCCGGTTTACGAAACAAACCTTCATTCGAAACATGATCATCAGTATTTGCATAATTTTAAATAGGAAGATGTTCGAAATGTCCCCCGCGCATATGGAGGTATGCATGTGCGCGTCATGGAATGGTTGACTGTACACGTTCTAACATCGTAGTGTCCACAAAAGTAAACGCACTATGGAGACGAGCAACCAAGTTCATTTCTGAAGTAACGGGGTCTCGATAAACCATTTCCTTTAGATGGCCCCATAGGAAGAAATCTAAAGGAGTACCGGCAGCTACTACATGCAGTCTTTTAAATACCAATTCAAACAACGGCTTGATGTCATTTCACGTGCCTCATTATGCGCGTTGGACATTTCGAACATCTTCCTATGCAAATACTAAAATAAATTTGCGTTAGTCTACTAAAGTGAGTAAATGGCTGGCAAAAATGTTGCATTAAATTCTAACTTAATGTCTAGTTACTAGTTTTTTATTAACGATGTTTATGTTTTGAATAAAGCTTTTTTTCGTAAACCGGATATGACGTCATATGTATTCTCTCGCATTTTTCTCGAAAACTATGGATCGTAGAGGTGCAGTTCTTTGGCCATTTTTTATGTATTCCAAACAACGAATCTGGCTGTGTAGAGTTTATCCGGTCTTGCTGGGACACCCTGTATATATACATAACACTTTTATATATTGGTGTTCAAAATTAAGAAAGCTGGCACAATTTGGCAATTATAATTGCACAATATACATAACGCTTTTATATATTCGTTATGACGCTTTTATAACGTGGTGTTCAAAATTAAGAAATCTGGCACAATTTTTCAATTTCTTCAAGCCCTATGTTCTAAATGAAAGTTAAAATTAAAGTTTCCATGCGAAGATGTAAATCTCTAATCTCAGTGGTCTAGTGTCTATCACTTAACCATATTCGAGCGTGTAGAAGAAAAGCTTTATAAGCGTGTGTAGCAATTTCCAAGTTTCTTTTTTCTTTCTATCAAGCCGAATTCGGCGGTATTTTTTGCAACTATCTGTGAAAATTAAAAGTAAACAATTTAAATGAGTAACTCCTAACATTTCGTTATTAAAGTGAGGTGGTGAATTATGAGTACGGTGAAAATAAATAGTTTCAAGTAAAGGTTTCTAGTACAAAAAAGGATACATCCACCGCCTGAAAAAAAGAATTTAAGGATACTGGATCCTTTGAGGAGGCTGATCAATATTGTCCAAGAGCCATAAAGGTTAATAAAGATCGATATTAGACCATTACAGAAGACGTAACAGGAGTGCAACAGTATCTAAGCTCTCTCGTGACTTTTACACGGCTGCTGAATTTTAAAGGATATTATTTCTTGACGACTACTTGAAAGCGGTTTTTTTTTTTTCATGAAAACCCATAGGTTGCATTCCTCTCACTTCTGAGTACAAAATAACATGAATTTTGGTGCAGAAAACATCCACTTTGGATCACAGATCAGTGGAGAACTTATCTATCCACCGATGAATCCTGATTAAGACAAACCGTGGGATTTATGTTTATCTGGAGAAAGGCATTCCTCAGTCTATCTATCCTCCAACATCCTAGAAAGAGACCAACCATTATGGAATGGTGGTTTGATGGTCTGGGAGCACATATATCAATGCCTTTGCTCACAGGCTCTGTGACTGCTGTTCAATTTCACTTATGAAAAGTGTATATAAGACACTTCTTCAGGAGTTCAGTTGGTCCTAATTTATCCTAGCCTTAGTTCATT